ACATACCTAATTTGAAAATCCTTCAATTTGTAATTTCTATGGAGATTTTTGGGGGTTTAAGGAGAGAGAAAGTGATGAACACGAAGAGAGAGAAAGTTAGAGGAGAGAGAAAATTTTAGACGATTGGTAAAGGGTTTGAGGGAGAATATGTATTTTAATCTTAACCGTCCAAAGTAACTTAATCCTACGACTATGATTGGTTCCTGTATAACTAGGGTTTTTATATAAGGAGGGGTTTTTACCGGATCCCTCCCCTATATATATATAATTAAAAAAAAAAAAAAAAAACCCTTGTTGATATTTTTTTTTTTTGAACAAATCAAAGGGCAGAGTATATTTAGATATTTAAAAAATGTAACTCAAAAGAAATTAAATTTTGAACAATATTTATCATTTTCCTATTTATCTCCGCGAATATTTATCATTAAGCATCTAAATAGTCAACACTATAACTACTCCTTTTGAGTCGGAACCAACCTATAACCCTAACACAACTTAACTACATCTCTGCTTTTTATATATTTTGCAGCATTCTACGAAACTTTCATCACAAATAATCCATAGCCATTAAAACAATTAGATTCTTTTTTCTGTTTCTCTATCGCTGATTAATTAATTAGTTAGTGATGGTCATCACTGGATCGCTCGATGTCAATGGTCTGAAGGTGGTCGAAAGAGATCCAACAGGACGGTACGCAAGGTACGACGAGATCGTAGGCAAAATGGACTCCAAATCAGTATACAAAGGTTATGATGAGATTGAAGGAATAGAAATTAGTTGGAGTAAGACATTCTCATATGAACTAATCATAATTAATTATAAAGGATTTGCTATGAATTTGATTTCTGAAGCGGAACCGTTAAAGTCATTAGATCATGAGAATATTGTAAAGTGCTATCATTATTGGACGGATGATGATTATATTAACATGATTACTGAGCCTTTAACATTAGGTAATTTGGAAGACTACTTAAACAACAAAGACGATCATTTCGATGTGAAAGAAATCAGGGAATTTGGTAGACAGATTCTCAAAGGGTTACATTATTTACACAGTTAAGATCCCCCGATAATATCCACTGCGATCACTTTTATTTCAGTAAAAAGACAGGGCGGGTGATGATAGGAGACTTGTGTTACGCGGTCAAGCTTAAAATAACACACGGTGTAGTAATTGGACCGGAGGATAGGCCGCTATACCATAATCAACTGACTGACATATACTCTTTCGGGTTGTGCTTTCTTCAAATGCTTACTGGTGAAGTACCATACAAGGAATGCCGTACTTTGGATAAGCTTTGGAAAGTGAAAAGAAAGTATATTGTGCCAAAACTTGTATTTAAGTCACAGATTATTAAGTTAGAAACTTGATTATACGCTGTATAGGTCCTGCTTCTTACAGACCCTCGGCAATTGACATTCTCAATCACCCGTTGTTTGCATCAAATGCTTCCATTCAACAATCAAGGGTGGGAAAGGGACGACCATTTTCTACCATTAAAAAGGCTCTCTACAAGTTTCTCTTTTCTTCGGTGGTTCACCCGGTTTACCCTTTGGGCTAATCCAGATTCGGATCAGTTTTGGGTGGTTAGGTTCCAGTCTCCTCCCAATTGTTGTTGCGGAGGATCGAACACGGGTCCACTCTACAAAGTCAGTCTCAATCACCACTGCACGAACAACTACAAGTTTCTCCTAAATACTTGTATGTGTTTACTGAGGTTTTTTTTTCTCATTTATATGATATTCACGATCTTTAGGCTTTGTTCGTTGTTTTTTTTTTTCTTTGGCCTTGCTTAGCATGTAATTATCACTTGTCGCTGTAGTGGTAAGACGTGCGAATAAATGTTATAGATGTTTTGGAAAACTTGTCAAATGCGGCCATATATTTTTATTATAGAGTATTCTCTTTGCTAATTGTAGTCTATAAATAAAATAATCGCAAATTTTAGCCTAAATATGTATTCGTGAACGTTGGAGAGATCCAACCCAATACTTCCTCCAAAATTGATTCATTTAACTCTAATCAAAGCTTAAGAAAATGGATAGGAGGTGGTAAAACCGTAAAAGGGTTGATTTATCATTTACGGTTGTGAATTAATCAGTAATGCACTAGAATTTTAGTAAAAGGGAGGAGAAAGAAAAAAAAAAAAAAAACAAATTGACATTATTTTTAGGCAATTTTATCCGGAAATAGGAAGCGGGTGTCAACAAACAAGTTTGTAGTGCTTTTAAGGCAATTGCAATTATCATTTTACAAGATTGTAATTGCTAAAGTAGTGTGTGGCCCGAGCAATGCCCTGGATTGCACTAGAGTTTTACTAAAAAAAAAAAAAAGAAAAAAGTTGTAATTTGAACCTTATAGGTATTGTGAGCTCAAAAATGCAGAATCCAAGTACATAAATACAGGTGATAGCAACAAACAGTTGAATTAAATTGTCACAACACACAAAAGAAGGGTAAAAACTCTGATTTTTTATGACAGAAATCACAAAGGGGTGTATAATAAACTGTAAAAAGTAGAAAATGAAATTAAAGATATGGTGTTATTTAGCTCATTCTAAATCTACAATCCCCAAATTGGAGAGAATGAGTTTTACTTGATCCACAAAGTCAGATCCGGTTGCATACTCTGTCAGCATCCCAACAGCAAATCCAAACATAGCCCATCTGTTGATAGCAGCACATCAAAAAGGCGCAGTTTATGGTTTACTTGTCATATCACAAACATCATAACATCACCACATACCAAATTTAACACATCAAAAAAGCTTATTTTATAATTGAAATGAAGTTTATTCATCATAGATCAGGCATCAAGAATAAAAAAAGCATATATGAAACAATTTATCCCATAGTTGATGTCTTTTATATGCAAAACATCATGTCAAAACACACAGAAAATCGAAATATTGTATCAGAATGCTAACAGTTAGTCCTTGTAATCTTAAAGCATAATCACATTGACAAACTAAACATGTATCAAATTCTACATGTTCTTTTTCACTGACAAACAAGGAAAATCTAAATTTAGGTGTTTGGAAAAACATTGCTTAATTCATAAAACCCTCATCAATATGAGTTACAAAGACTGAAGTGAACAAACAGTATCGAAAAGTGGAAGTATGAGTTATAAAGTAAATGTTACACATGTGTTTCTTCAACCGCCACCATAGCATACTATAAACATGTTTTTCTTCAACCGCCACCATAGCATACTATAAACTTGTGTTAATTGTAATCTTAAACAATGACTGAATCATGATCCTCATTATCAAAGCCCTTTTATATGGTCCTCCACAATTTCCTCAAGCTTATATAATCAAAGAGATAGAGTGATGGGAAGCACAATCTCGATTACTCTGTCTCTCATTCACATTAACAAAAAATCACTTTCAAATTAACAACTTTCCAATTAGAACATCAACATTTGAGTCATCTGTTAAGTAATTCACCGATACAATAGTCACATTGCGACACGTTTAATAATAATCATCAACTTATGGATCTTACATTAATTTTGGTACAAGGTCAACATTGGATAATTGACAATAACTCCTATGTTCCCAAGTAATTGTTTTTCAAGGTTATGCACTAGTAATTCTTACGAAAGTATTATTAAATTCAATGGTATCCATAACTGACAAGTAATAGTGAATTGAAATAAAAACGAGTACATCAATATCGAAAATTACATATCACCCCACGGTAACATGTAAATGTTCATGATGGTAGGGAGATTAAAAATAAAATTTACTAAGAAAAACAAATATTCCAATAATTTAGCAATAAAAATGTGTTATCAAACATAGCCGTAAAATAAATAACATACCTGCCATTGCCAATCTCATTTTTAGGAACAAAACCAAAAGCAGGGCCTTGATCAGCTTCTTCAAGCTTCTTCTGCTTAAAATAATCCTGCAGCTCTTTAGCCTTAGCCCTCTGAAACTCCAATGTGATCACACTCTTATCCTCCACCACTTTAGAAACCGAGGCCGGCTTCGAAGGCGATGGAGGAGGAGATGAAGAAGGCAGCGAAGGCGGTTGTAGAGGAGGAGCAGGAGAAGGAGCAGTAGGTCTTCTGATAGGACCTTCAGTCTGTGAACTTCTGACAGTAAATGACATACAGGGCTTAGTTTGTGATAGCCTTAAGCTCAAGGTAGTTGATGAGGAAGAAGAACATGATGATGAAGAAGGTGATGTTGTTGTTGGTAGTCTGATACTTGGGATTGAAGCTGCTACTGACATATTTTTCTGAATCCAAGTGTTTTTGTCTGAATTGGGGAGGAGAGAAAAAGAGAGGAGAAGGCAGAGGATGGAATTTGAAGTGTTATCAGAATCAGAGGAAATTTGTTAATGGGTAGATGAAATGTGGCTATGATTTATTGGGTTTGAGGATTTTGATTGTTTATGAGCAAGTGGATAATGCCTACTTGCAGGGAGAGGCGAGTGTGACTCACACCGCTTTCGAGTCTGAGGCTGAGTCTTACTCTACTTGGCTGTATGGAACCCAGAATAATTACTTTTCTGAGAACAGGAATTTAAAACCATAGTTGGTCATTAGGGGGACGTATTAAGAGTAAGATTAAATGGCTAACTGTTAACAAAGACGCTAATTATTAACGATTATTTGGAAGTAAGATATGGTTCCTTAAAATGAAGTAAAATGTATTCCAACTGCGTGAAATTAAGACTTGTTCGTGACCATTCTCTGTTTACAGATAATTAAGAAAACTGAACAGTAAAGGTTTCAATTTCTTTTACTTTTCTACCTAATTAAGCAATCAGAATCAACATGATTAGAATAAACTTGACTAGTTTTAAGTTCACTATACAACCTCTTGAATTGCTACAGATATCAGACTGGATACATCAACCAAACCGGAACTAAATCAAACGACTCATCTGCTCGGATCTGTATGAGAAAGATCCCAAAAAACCTGCATATGCATTGTTACTGAATATACCTAGGGGCCAGGGTGACTTGATTGCTAAATACAAAGGCTTGTAAGCGGCATAAATATGATTGAATGCAAGAACACTTTAATCACAGCAATAAATACTGAGTCATGAAATAGGAAAAGGACATGATCTAGTAACCCAAACAAAAAAAGAATGGGTAATGGGGGAGAAGCAGTAGAGGTGAAGAGGGAAGAAAAAATGATTGAAAGAGATGACAAAAAATTCAATCTGACGGTCCACTCAATGAAACAAAATTGACAAGATATTAACAAAGTGAATCAGCCAGTAGAGGCATCCGAATGCCAGATCTTAGCAGATGGCTGTACTCATATCAAAACACACTCGAAACCTCAAGCACCTCGCTCTAGTTTTCCACTCACTCAGCAGGCGAAAAATGGGCAACAGCACTCAGTAAATCCAAATATGCTTGATTCACAGCAGCTAAGCACACAAAAATAGCCCAATCTAATGCCCTTCCACAATGCTTGATTTTGATTCAATCAAGTGGCTTTTACAAGCCCAAATTACATTATCCTGCAAGAACAAGTCTTCCCATTTCCATTGACAAACTCGTCATCTGAATCGCCATGTTCACTGCAATTTAATTTGGTAGATGTAAGTAGAAAGCAATGGATAGGACATAATTGTGCACAGGATAAATGAAAACTCCACAAAAGTATACTCGTTATAAAATAAATAACAAAACTTTAATTGGGAAAAAAAAATTACACAATAAACAGGGTGCAAGAAAAGATAAAGTTTGAACAGAAATAGAGAGACATATCTATTGCTGCTGTCAGTAAGACAGACATGATCAAAAGCAAAAATCAAGCCAATCAAATCTATCCAGTATCCACACATCCCACTGTCCAATAAGGCATTACCATTGGTTCTAAATGTTACAATGAAAGCCATCTAGACTGCCATAACTAATACTTCTAGGAAAGGCAGATGCAATTCCTGATGAGTACCATATACTAGTATTGCAGCAAGTGATAGCCTTAGGGCTTAGACAATGGTTATGCTTATGCAAGTTAATGGGGCATAGATGTGCTCAAGCTCCAGCACAGCAAGCATGTAGCAATTATAATTGAAAGAAATGACCATCAGCAGGTTGTGTAATCCTTATATTCAAAGCTCTCAGGAAGCTCTGCATCAACAGCTTCATGTGTCTTTTTTTATAAAGTGAATTTAGGTTATAATATCCTTGGAAGAAGAAAGAAGTGGACAAATCATATTAATTTGAGACTTCTGAATTAAATCTAGAGATGATGTACATGTTTGGGCTTGATTCTTTTTTGTACAAAATGCTACACCAAAAATGCTTAGACAAACATCCCCCACTGAAGAGAGAAAGAGAGAGAATGCACAAGGGAAAAAAAAAAAAAAAGAACTATAAAAGATAGATTAATTAAAAGTCACAGGGAATCAGCTCATATATTTCACTGAACTCTGCCTTGATAAAAATTGTAAGCACTTAACACAAACAATAAGTAAGCAACCCTTGCATGAATCTCTATCCAATAAATGTTAATTATTATTTTCTCCTTTTCAGTTAGTAGGCTTGAACAGGTGAAAGTAATAAGCTAATGGTTATCGAATTCTTTACAACTATTCTGAAACAGAGATAACTCAAGCAAAGTATTTTCAGTTTTAGATAGATGGCCACTTTCGAACACACATGAACAATCTGTGAGGTTTTCATGGGGGGAAAAATACTGTTCAACTTCTTCAAAGAGTCAATTGGGATCCAAACCAAGGGGTTGTGGGTTTGATTATCAGCTCTCCCAACCTCATGATTTGGTGCCAGTGTTGTGGTTTCCTATTAAAAAAATTCTCAGTTTCTTCGTGGATTGGGATCTCTGTGTTGCCCCTATCAGAATATCACTGTTCTTCCAGAGACAGTTTCCAGTGACAGTTAAGATATCTTACAAGCTGCATAAATGTAAAAGCTGATTGTCTAAGTGATCCCGTACTCCCACGCCTTATGGTCTTTTATCTACAGAGGAAAGTATCTTATCAAGTAGAGTCATGAGATGAAATACTTCAAAGATAGGTTTCACCTGTTACCTAAAAAAAATCTCCATGAAGAACATGGCACTGAATAGGCACACTGATGATTGCTTCTTTACTTTGTATAGGCACTATAGGGTATTGCCCGAAAGTTAAAGTAAGGAAGACACAATCTATAATTAAAGCACATTTTAAATCAGCTACATTAGTATTAAAACCAAAGCAAGCAATGAGGAGGTCTTTGAGATTAGCTGGAAAGAGACACATTCTTATTGATGATGGCTGTGAATTCTGATTCTCTACCAGCTTTACAAATCCAAAATTTTGCAAGGATGAGTGAGAAATTTTTATCCACCCACGTTTGTCTTAATAAATGGTAGAACCCATTTCTTTATCATAAATCATATTCAGAATCAAATTGGGCCACGCTAATTCCCAGAAATGAAATCATAGAATCTCCTTATCAGAAAGTAATCAAATGTAGCACATGATCAATACCATGTCAACTTATTCCTTAAGCATTACAAAGTATATCTAGAAAGGAATCAAAAATTAGTCATCACTGTTTTGCCCACAAACCTCCCAAGTAAATAGCCAGTATGAACACTAGCAACTTATTACAACTTTGTCAAATTACTAATGCTAAAATAGCATTTGCACTATCATGTTAAAAATTATTTTCCATGGATAATCAAACTTGTTCACATGCAATTATAAGGCATCCCTGAATCAAGACAAAGAGCTTCCTAACTCCTAAGCATCACAGATGACAGGTTTATATCATGTCTGGAGTATAAGATGTTAAACAAAAAACATTCAAATATTCAATGTAATAAAAGGTTCTACTACATCGATTAAGCATAAATTTTCCAACCTCTAGTCAAAATTAACTACATAAATGTATTACTTAACTATGCTTATCTTCCTACAAGACTGTAAGCTAGTTGGTCTTTGTGATCAAGGGGAACAACTCTTTTTCTATAGTACTAGGCTAAAGGGGTCTCAAACTCATACAGGTTACACTCACAGCATCCAAACACCCCCCTCCCTTTCAATAAGTTAATAAACACATATACTATAAGAATTGTTCAATAATGAATACTACTATGTCCTACAAAGGTTGGCAACATGTAAAAAAATGCAGATATAACTTTACAACATTTACACCTCATATATACATTACTTGCTGTAGGATTGATGCAAATGCAACTTTTACCATATACTGAGACAGCTTATGATAGATATTTCACTAACTGGATGGGATAGGGGGAGCACACATTGAGCTTAAAAGCACTTTGGTTGACTTTATGCAAAGAGAAAACCAAGGATAGGAATTTAGAGGTGTCAATTCGGATGTTCGGATCAGGTCTGATGAGGTCGGGTCGGGTCGGGTCAATTTTTAAAGTTGATCAAGTTAAATTATTATGTCCACGCGAGTTGAAATCTAAATCGGATATTTTTCAGGTCGATTTTGGATCGGGTCGGGTCGGGTCGGGTTTTGAACCTCTAGATAGGATTAAATATTTTCGATGCCAAACGCTGGTTTGTACATGTCACCAGAAGTTTCATCAATCAACCAATACCATCCTAAAAAATTCTATTGACACATTGCAGGACACAAAACATTAGTTATTGTGGACAGTTATGATTTTAGATGGAACATTTAAAAAAGAATTGTATTAGTTAGGTAACAACCAATTTAAAGCTTAGAACTGTCAACATGGATTCAGCTCTTAAGTATTTTGGAGATGAGACAGTCCAAAAACCTGATTCCCTCCAATCAAACAAAAGCTAAAATTATTCCATATTGACTTATGATACAATGATAACTCATTAAGTTGACAAAACATATCTGAATCAGGGTTTGAAGGAATTAAATGGTTGAAGCCCATGCTAAAATGCAAAAAGAATGTCTTTTGTTGATAAAACAATAAACTAAAGTCCTTATGCTGCATTGCTAGAGGACCATAAGGACTCTGTTCAAAATTAACTTCGGGGTCGTTTGGTTCACTAAGCTGGAATGGATTGGTATGGATTCCCATACTTTGGGTGGTATGGATTCTATATCCCTTACCAATCTAAAGTTGTTTGGTTTAATCGTGGAATGGATTCTCATACTTGAGTAATAGTATGGATTATGAATCCTTGGGGGAGGTGGGTATGAGATTCCATGGGAATGGGGTGGAGTTAGAATCCCCAAGTATGAGATTCCATACTTAAATAACCCAACCAAACAAATAAAACCATGGAATGGATTTAGAATCCATTCCAACCCATACCAAGAAGTTCAACCAAACTGCCCCTTAGCCTAAGTTAATATCTAATCCAGCTTCATAAATTTCCAAGTCTTTGATGAAGTAGGACTAGTAGGTACTATAGTACTATCTTTCAGTAAGTGCAGCAAACACAAGTAACAGTGCCTAGCATTGTCTCTGAGTGAAATCAGTAAAATACTGGAGTGTGATAAGAGTGATTAAAAACAAAACCTATGACATGTGGTCCACATAAAATTACATTAATATTGTAATCACATAAGGCACCAATAAATGCAGACCAGGACAAACGCCAAACCAATAATTCCTTGTTGCAGGATACTCTTAAATAATGTAAGTAAATAGAAGACAGTGATATCGAGAAAGTAACATTCTATATCCAGCATTTTTACATAACAAAAAATTAGCAAGAGACATGAAATTTTATAGCCTTCACAGTCATATACCTGAGCTCAAATTCCCTGATCTCTGCAAGCTCTTTCCCACATGCATCTGTCCACTGCACTTTTCTCGTTTCTGTGTGTCCAGAGAGATCACTATCCTCTTCAGCCAGGGGCTGCTGCTCATCATCGTTTTTAGTAGTTTGTGAAGTATTATGCAATGGCTTCTTCAGGCTACTCTTGAGGGTGATATTTCTAGCATTGTTATCATCGTCAACAACAGTGCTCTGTTGAGTCTGTTCCTTTTCCCTATCGTTTGCAGGACCACTCAGCAAAATATCCTGTGGCTGGGTAGGACCTACTTTAAGAGGCGACTGCCCATCAAGTCCTGCGGAAGCGCGACCAAAACAGACAAAGGTAGCGCACCCGCGGGAAAGTCTATTCTTTCCAGAAGCCAGCTGGAGGTTACTTTCAGTTTCCTGGTCCACCAACTGGTATTGATTCCAAGGTGCAACTTTCATGTGCTTATCATCACTCTTCTGACCCAAGAGTAAAAGGGTCAGACCCTTGCTATACCCAGTAGCTGAAGAAGAGAAAAACCCCCCTCCTTCGACTGCTAATAACATCAGTTCTTCTCATCTGGGCACCAGAACTATTTACAGTTTTAGTTCCAGACCCTTCAAAGTCTGATTCTGCAAATTCTGATACAAATTTTCACCCAATCACCTGAAAAGTGTAGTAGAAAGGTCTCAGGGAAAAAGAACTACAGTATGTAAGTTCTCAAAATTGAATAAGCCATTATAGTTATCAGAGCAGAATCTTCGAAACACTAATTACAAGCTTAAATGTCCAGCTTGTAACTATTATAAGCATGACTAATTAACTGCCTAGTTATCAACATGAAATCGTTATACTTTATAATTCTAAGCCTCTCTATCTCTTTGGTAGATTTTGTCTAGCTCCCTAGTGGCCTAGTCCACACAAACAACTTTTCAGCAACAAGCAACAGCCCCTTCCTATAATTTAGGATTGCTTTAAACTCACTACATATGACAAAAACAGATCATCCCCGCCTCCCCACAATCAAAGAGCTTCTATGCCAATAAATGTATGATCATACATATAACTTTAAGTGTAAAATACATCAACATCAACTATAAAGAGCTACTTTAACTTTTTCCAAAGTTTAATACTCAGCAAAATTTGGCATAAATCACTAAAAAAACTCAATGTACGCCGCCCGATAAGCATGTTCTTATCCAAAATTATAGCAACCCATCAATGCAACTGACCCTAAGCTGGAAATTATAGTCTCAGTCCAGTAAACTTATATCACAACACTCTTCAATAAAATAAAAATCAACAAAAGCTCAAAAGCTTAAATTATACAAATCATAAGAATAAAAGAAAAAGAACCCCCCAAAAAAAAGTAATATTCTCGTTTTGGGAAACAAATATAAGAGATCGTACACTAAAATTCTAACTACAGAAAAAGTAATCCAACACAAAAATCATGAACCTTTTTGGGGTTGATCACAGAAAAAATTCGAATCAACTACAAAATGAGAAATTTAACAAAGTAAAAGACGAATAAGTTCAAAAAAATTAAAAACTAATAATCAGAAATAAATCAAAAAAAATTGAGAACATGCAGCGATTCAAGTTCAAGTAAAATAACAATAAAAACCCAGAAATGGGTTTAGTACCCATTACTGATAATTAAAATCCCAAGTTGATTAAATTGTCAAAAGTTCAAAAGAAATGCAGATGAAAAGAATTTTTAAAAAATCAAAAAAAAAAAAACCAGAATTAGCAAATAGAAATTGAAAGTGTAATGAGTCAAAATGGAGTAGAGAAATAAAGGATACCTGAGGAGAGAGGAGAAAGTAGATCTGAGGCAGAGAGATATCCAGCGAGTAAATTGATGGAGGGATTTGCGAAGAGATTTGAGTTGAAAGAGAAAAGGGGGAAAAAAGAAAGAGAGAGAGATGAATTGAAGAAAAAGAGGAGAGAGAAAGAAAGATGGAGATTGATGAACACTCTAAAAAACGAGACACAGCTATAAGATTATAATCAAAGTGGAGTGTGGGGGAGACTTGGTGTGCCTGTGGGGGCTGCTGCCTCTTTTTTTTTCAATCCTTTTCGGGTTTCATTTTGGAACGTTTTCTTTAAAAAAAAATCATGTAACAATTTTCAAGTTATGCCCCTTTCACCATATTTACTGTTACCGTTCATGTCGATGTGTAGGTTTGACTCTTTTTCTTTAGGAGTCGGTCTCCGTTAATATCTACTATAAACGAAATTCGTTTATATAGTGGCATTGTTGCAATTGTATGCATTGGAGTTTGTACTTTATTATTTTTCTATTATTTGGCTGAGTTGGACAAATTGTGAATTCTAACAACCGTTTGTTACTCATTGTTGACGGCGTCCTTAACGTCGTTATTGTTTCTTATCCCTCCCCAATTGTTAGAGAGAGAAAACACAGAGGGAAAAATTCGACAGAATAACATCAGTAGAGCAGCTCAGGCGTTGGATTTAGTGGAAGCTTATGACGATTCGGCATCCACAGATCTGAGACGACTCCTTATTCCTGGTTCTCGGTAAGTCTCCTTTACCCGAAGCTTTATTATTGTTTTTTATAATTTTGTTTCTGTAGCTGTATCTCGATCGAATTCTTCCGTTCTTCTTCCTAGTTATTTCTTTGTCTTTGTCAATTATGCTTTTCCATCAGTTAGTTACTCTTTCGTCAATTGCTTTGGTAAAATTAAATAATTCTAGGGTTTTGATATGAATACGATTGTTGAAATTTGTTGCAACTATCTGAAATTAACTTTGTGTTGATTGGTTGTTAAATCTACCATTACCATTTTCTTGGGTTTTTTGTTATGCTATTATGCAGTTGTGTAATTATGCTGACTTTTGTTAGTTATTTATGTTTATTTGTTGATTACCCATTTGTTGCTTACCCATTTGTTATATGGTATCTCCAGTAGATCTTTATATATTGGTTATAATGGAAGGTCATCTGGTTGACATGGGACATGAGAATACTTGATCAAAGTTTAGTACATGATAGTCTAGTCTACTATGGTAATGTTGATGACAGTCCTACTATCCAGTGTAGTAATCCTTAGCTTCCATCCTTGAATTGTCTCACACCTTATGTGCATCCCTCTTTATCTCCCTTTCCCAATCCTATTACTTCTCCAATCAAGACTATTGAGACTATGGAGCCTATTGTTTTTAGCGAATAAGGTCATTATTTTCTCAATTGTTGAGGCACCCAGGGTTGGTATGGTCTTTAAAAAGTAGGAGGATGTGGAGACTGCAGCATGGATTTGGGGTTAGCAGAGTGTCATCTTCATTTTCTAAGGCCACTAGTGAGAAGAGGGGTTGTACATGGCGCTGTGAATGTTGGGGACCTCCTGATTTGAGGGCCAAGAGAGAGGCAAAGAAAAGGTGTAAGGCTATGGAAGCATGTTGTTATGGGGACGCAGTGGATACAGTAAATGGTGCCATAGGAGAAGATGAATTGAGTCGGGGGAAAAGAACATCGAAGAAATGTGAATGCAATGCCCGAATCTATGCGAGTCTTAATGGTGATGGTGAGTGGAAATTGAGAACTGCCATTCTGAAACATGACAATCATAAATTATCCCCTACCAAGTTTACATTGGTCAAGGAATATCCTATGAAGAATTGTACGCCTAATGTGCGGAAGAAGTTAATAAACTATTACGAAGAAGGGGTTTCCGTGACTCAAATACACGGTTGTATGGCATCGAAGATGGGTGGGTTAGATATCTTGCAAACTGTTAAAGACCTTCACCATGAGGTGTATAAGGCTAGGCAACTAAAAATGGAGGGCGGTGATGCAGCAGCTATGATGGGGTTTTTCGATCGTATGCAAGTCGATAACCAGAACTTCTTTCATGCACATCGTCTTGATGAAGAAGGGCGATTGAAGGACGTACTTTGGGTTGATGCTCGGAGTCGAGTGGTATATGAGGAGTTTGGTGATGTTGTATGCTTCGATGCAACCTACCTAACTAATGAGTATGAGCTACCTTTCGCAAACTTTGTTGGCGTTAATAATCATGGGCAATCCATACTCTTCGGATGTGCCCTTGTGTCTCATGAGAATTCGGAAACTAATACCTGGATTTTTGAGCAGTGGCTGTCTTGTATGGGGAATAAACCACCTGGTGCCATATTGACGGACTAAGCTACTGCGATGAGGAAACCACTTGCACAAGTACTAATGTCGTCTTCTCGTCATAGATAGTCATTTGGCATATCATCCGGAAATTTCCTAAGAAGCTGGGGAAGTGTGAAAAGTAAGTGTAGGGAATTTTTCAAACTCAACCTTTTGAGCCCCACTATGTTCATGCTTTTAGGAATGGTGGCGCTCCAAGGGAAGGAAGCTAGAGATAGAAGAGTCGCCAACAAGTTTTAGGAACTTGTAAACCGTTCACAGGTGCGAAGATTACACCCCATTCACAATCACGGAGATTGCTAACTCCATAGTGGTCCGAAACCATGACTGGATATTCGGGGATGATGGTACGAATCTAACCTAAAAGAGATTGAATCCGGCCTAAATCGGCCTCTACTTAATTCTTATGATATTCATGTGCGCTTTCCGATCAACATACATACATCATATTAGCCCTAAACCTGTTTAATCTACGTTGGTTGATTATTATTAATGCACGATCAAATCTAATATTGGTGATCACTTGAATTAAAATCATGTTATCCTAAATCAAATTATTAATTATATTACTAGGCGTGATTTCAAGTACAAATTCCCTTTAAACCTGCAAAAAGGGACGTAATCAAGCAATAATAATAAATCATGAATAATCAAGCAACATATAACTGACTCAACAATTGTCATCATAATAACATCGTCAAAATTTTATTAATAGTAAGATCCTAAGCATGATATTAAATAGATTAATAACAAACCCTAGCATGTCACTAACAATCAAGATCAAAGCTTTAACCTAAACATGATACTATCAATCAAAACCAACATCCTAAACATGATTCTAGAAATTATAATAACATCCTAACATGATACTGGGAATTAAAATAATATTCTAAACATGATTTATACTCTAAAATAAAAAAATAAAGATAGTGTATATACTCACTTTGATGCCTCGGCTTTCTTGCTATTGAAACAATAAACACATTAGTAAACTTCAAGAAAGATTAGATCTGTAAAGTAAATAAATCAAATGTGAATTGAAATATAGATTTGGAATCAAACCCTCAGAACTATCAACCTTTCACGTCGAGGTCAAAGGCAACGTCGAGGATGGCTTGAAGTATTCGAATCTCATGAATGAGGTATTGTGACTGATTGGGGAGAGTATCAAGGATGTGTTTAGGCTAAGATAAGAACATGAAGAATCAAGAGAGAGAGAGAGTATTAGAATGGGTATTGATGATGATTGTTGTTGATTCAAAATGGGGTGAAATGACCTCTATTTATAGAAAAAAAGAGAGTCGAAGCGATCAGAAAACATCAGAATTTGGAATGGAATAAAATAGGTTTCATCGCATGGCCATAGACTCATCGCGACGCGATGGTCGTTCTGCGATTGATCCAAAGATGACTAAGCCGTACGGAATTTGATTCCTAATAGAACTGGGTCGATGAAATACACCTGTACATATTTTAATTCGATCGGGATTCGGATTATAAAAAAAGATGTTTTATTCGGCTTCGAATTCTTTAATCTTTATCTTTCTGGGAAAGGATAAATTAGAACCTTCTAGAAACTCGTAGGAATAAGGTATGTGGACCCTCCACATGATCATTGGGTCGTAGGTAAGGTGGACCTAAGTCCGGTTTGGGCTCGGTTTAGTATATTGGCCATAACTTATTCATTTTAAGTCGAATTTGGTCTAATTATATATCGTTGGAATGCTCTTTTCAAACCCCATCTAACGAAACAATAATTGGACCAGGACTATTGACCTAAATAATCTTCTTTGGACGTTTTTCTAAATTGGACACGAAATGAATGATTTTGGTTAAAAACATTTTTAGGAAAGGTTAGGAATAAGGTCGAGGCTTAAGAAAACTTCACGAGACTATTCAACTCTTTACCGAACTCGTTAATCAAAGACGTGAAAGGTACTCATCACTAGGTTTGGTTTTTGGGGAGACACAATCAGGTGTCTATAGTAAGTCTCTGTTGTTCATGTATTTTGCAGATACGGTGAAGGTTTTGGTTTATAATATGCAATTCATGTATATTACTTTGCTGAGCTGGCTACTACGGTTTAGGTTGGTCTCATGGTCTTTACAATGTGTATTACCTGGCTACCTGATTTTGCTGATAGCTAACTGTTATTACAAAATGTTAACTGTTGCCCCCCTTGATGTTGTTTACTGCTTATGTTGTTGTTAGTCTGTTCAGCTGCTGTATCTGATGAAAGGAAAATGTTTTGTTCCTATCAGTTATAATAAACTGGATTTGTCTTGGCTTGCTTATTTTGGTCATAATGAACTGTTATTACAGAAAGTTCATCTCTGGCCCTTTTCATATATGTTGTTTACTAGTTATGTTGCTGTGTTGTTGTAATAAACTGGATTTGTTTTAGTTGGCTTGCCAATTCTGTAAGGGGTGTAGAAATGTGTAATCTAATTAAATGGTTCTTTATGTTCTATTTTAATGTCTTTAACCTAAAATCACAGTTCATTTAATGTTTTTATAAATTTGTCTGTTATGCTAATTTTAAAGTCCATTGAAAACTGTTATATATGAGAGCTTGGCATGCTCTAATGAAGCAATTCAAATTGGAGGATAATGACTTTCTTTGTGACCTTTTTGAGGAAAGACACATGTGGGTGCCCACCTTTATGAAGGAGCATTTCTGGGCGGGAATGAAAACAACCCAGAGGGTCAAAAGCATCAATAGCTTTTTCGATGGCTTTGTCAATCGGCACACCAAGCTTCATGAATTTCCTAAGAAATATACCAGTGCTATGGAGAAGAGCGTATAGTCTGAATTGAATGCTGATGCTAGATGTGATAAAGCAGACTAGTTAGTGGGTTTAAGGTTGAAAGACTATTCCAGAGTATATATATATACCGATGCAAAGTTTCAAGATGTACAGAAGGAGTGTGCACGAATGATGTATGTGTATTCCAAGGGGGAGCGAGTTGTCGAAGCGAATGTTATCGAGTATGCTTGAAGATAGGGTTGGATTATTCCCAAGGGAAGACGGAGGAGATTATAACTGACAGGTGTCAGTTGGTTACTATGCCGTTTAATAAGGTCACAAAAGAGGTGTCTTGTGATTGTCGGAAGTTTAAAACATTTAGAATTTTATGCAAGCATGTGATATGTATCTACAATAAAAATTTGATGTTCAATATTCCAAGAAAATACATCCTTGACAGGTGGAGGAAAGATTTGCATGAGAAGCATACAAAGGTGTAGGCACCTGATTGTGTCTCCCCAAACACCAAACCAAGTGATAAGTACCTTTCACGTTTTGGTAAGCGCGTTTAGAAAAGAGTTGAAGGGTCGCACAAAGTTTCCTCAAACATTGACCATATTTCTAACCTTACCTAAAATGTTTTTAACCCAAAATCATTCATTTCGTGTCCTTTTAATCATTCATTTCGTACTCAAATTATAAAAACGTCCCAACTTGATTATTTTAGTCCATGTTCTCAATCCTATTATTGATTAAATGGATGGGTTTGAAAAGAGCTTTCCAACGATATATTAAAAGCCCAAATCCGACTTAAAATGAGTGAGTTGTGGCCAAAATACTAAACCGAGCCTAAGTCCCCTTTAGTGCGACCCAATGATTACATGGAGTCCATATATTTTATTTAGGCCCCATATGATCATATTTCAAATCCTAAATTAGTTAGGATCCTCTAAAAGGTTCTAATCTATCCTTTCCGAAAAGATAAGATCAAGGAAATTCGAGATTGCATAAAACTTCTCATGTGATAATCCTTATCCTATTCGAATTCAAATACGTTTGGATATCTTTTGCATAGAAAAGCCATCAGTAACCAAACTCTATATGAACTTTGCTATCTTTAGAAACCATCATATAACGACAAGACCTTTGCACCACGTCAGCCCTAAAGTGCCGTGACAAGGGCCAACGCCTTGCGATAAACCTGTCGCGCCGCGACAGAGAAGTTCTATTTCGCTCAGAACTTCTAATCTTTTTCTAATCGATTTGACTCTCTTTTTTCCTTTTAAATAAAGGTCGTTTTCCCCGTTTTCAGATCATCAACAATCAGCTACGACCATCAATAATTATCAACAATTAGACACAATTATCACAACCATCATCATCATCTACACACAAATTCCTAAATTCCTAATGTTCTTAGCCTTAGCCTAAACACACCTTTGATAAATCCAAATCATTTACAATACTTCCTTTACGTGATTCGAATACTCCAAACCATACTCGACGTTGTCTTCGACCTCGACGTGAAAGGTTGATATTTCTGAGGGTTTGGTCCCAAATCTATATATTTCAATTCTTAATTAATTATTTAATTTATTGATTTCACTTTCTTGAAGTTTACTAACGTGTGTATTGATTTTATAGCAAGAAGGTCGAGACATCAAAGTAAATAATTTAATCATTTGATTACTTTCTTTGAAATAGAAATCATGCTTAGGATAACAATTTGATTTTGTTTATTAGTATCATGTTTAGGATAATGCGTTGATTTTGTTATTAGTAACATGTTAGAATAGTTATTAATATGATTAGTATCATGCCTAGGATCTTACTACTAACTATATTTATATGATGATGATTGTTATGATAATTATATGTTGCTTGATTATTCATGATTTATTGTTATTGCTTGATCACGCTCTTTCTTGCAGGTTTAAAGGGAATTTGTAATTAAAATCACGCCTAATAAGACAATTAATAATTGGAATTAGGTTTAATATGATTTTAATTCAAGTGATCACCAATATTATATTTAATTGTGCATTAATAATCAACCAACATAGATTAAACAAGTTTAGGATTAATTTAATGGATGTATGTTGATTGAAAAGCACGCATGAATATCAATAAGAATCAAGTAGAGGCCTATTTAGGGCGAGTTTGACCTCTTTAAGGTTAAGTTCATACCATCATCCCCGAACATCCAGTCATGGTTTCGGATCACTATGGAGTTAGCAATCTCTGTGATTGTGAATGGGGTG